GGGGGCCCCCCCCCCCCCCCCCCCCCCCGGCCCTGCACCCAACAGCCAGGTTTGGTGGTGGCAGCTCTGGGAGGGGCCTCGGAGGGACTGCAGCCACCCAAAAATTCGCTGTAGCCCCCTGACCCTCTTCCCAGCATCCCTACCGCCTGCTCCAAGCACAGCATGGCCTGACCCCACCCCGCTGGGAAGAGCCCGGCCCCAGGGGCTGGGGTGGGTGGGGCCTTGATCTGCCTCCCCACCAGTGGTGAGGGAGGGAGTGGAGCTGGGGCTGGGGCGCAGCCCCAGTCCACAGTGGCAGCCCATAGCAGGAGGAGCTGTGTCTCCTGTCCTGCCTTTTGCCCCAGCTCCAGCCCCATGCCCTCCCTCACCACTAGCAGAGGCGCAGATTGAGGTCCTACTCACCCCAGTCTCTGCTCCTGCCTGTGCCCTAGTCCCTCCCTCACCCCTAGGGCCTTGATCTGCCCCTGCCCATGGCCCTTTCCCCTCCCCCCCACAGATGTACCTGCTGCTGATTGCATAAGAGTGAATTTATCTCATATATAACAAATTTTGTATATAAAGGGGGTCATTGCATAAGAGTGAATTTGTATATACAGAACCAGCATAAAGCAAGGGAAACCTGTACTGAGCCGACTTCAAACAGAGTATGCAGATCATTTATACTTGAATTTATGGCCGATCTTTGGACTTCTTGACCCACTTGACAAAAAAACTTAGATCTATTTCCTGTATATTTAAGGATAAAATATTAAGGCAGTACACAGCAGAACGTAAGAAAGAGCTTTTGATTTATAAAATGAAGTAAAAGTTTAAATGCACTCTGGAAAAATAAAAATAGGAAATCAGTGTAGTTGGGAAAATTAAATTTACAGTATGCATAGAAAGTATTTGGAGAGCTGGAAAGCATGCTTGCTATATTGGTAACCTTGTACACATTCTAGAAAGAGGAGCTTTTAGGTGTGCCAACTGAAGTTAAACTTTCAAGTAACTTTGTTTCAGATTCCTGCAAGATGCATGCTCTTGCTACAAGTCCATGATCTGTATTTAGAAAGGAGCTGATTTAAAGGGCCTGCATTGAAGCGGTGACTTAAAGAGCTGCCTGTTTTGTGCCCTTGCTGCTGAATTGGTGTTCTTTGTTGGCATTTCAGTGACATGCAGTAAGCAGAGGTGGAGTGCTGGGAATTGGCAGCCCCTGACAGTGGCTGGGTAGCACTTGCCTGACCCATAGCTCTGAAGGTTGCTGACCCCTGGCTTCTACTGTATTAAAAATGTTTTATATCTTTCTGAACTTTTTAAAATCTTGGGTCCTTTTATTCAGTACTAGTTGTTGTATTTTTTTGGGGCAATAGCTTATTCAGTAACAAAGAGGCCAGTAGATACTTTGGTATAATATTGATTGATTTAAATGATTTTATGTGTTTCCTCCTCCTCTTCTCCCCCTTCTTCCCCAAAAGAATAATTGACCAGTCCAGCAATATGGAGATAGCTTCTTTCCCAATCTACAAAGTGGTGTTCTGCGCACGGGGGCAAAATGGGACTCCAGAGTGTGACTGCTTTTCATTTACTGAGAGCTGTTGTGGAACAGAAGTGTTTCAGGTTCATGTTTTCTCCTGTGAGATTAAAGAGGCAGTAAGTATAAACTTTACCATAATAACATAACAAACTTTTTTTTAGTATCATTTCCAATCTTTTAGTGCGTCAGTCACATCATGTAAAATTATATTAAACACTTTTTATTTTTGTATCCAGAAGATTGCACAAGATGTATGTATAGCTATTGATTCCTGAATATTAAAAGAGTTCAGAAGTTACTTTAATACTTATCAAAGATAGTCCTTCAGTAGGACCTGCATACTCATGTTATGCTGCACTGTTGTGAGGTATGAGTTGAAGGTTAATTATTAGTGCTTTAGTCCTGTTGTAAGTAGGGTTGAGATTATTGAGGTGGAAACATGTTTACATTTTAGAGCTTTAACGTATTCTCTCAAATAACACAGATTTTTCTGAGGTGTTGGAGCATTAGGACATTTGAGGGACCAAGATTTTGAGGCTGGAGATGCATAGTGTGACAGGAGGCAAACTCGAGACCGGATCTCAAGTTGGCCTGCCCTCCTGCCTAGGGTAGTCTGCCCTAATTCGCCTGCCGCAACTTGAATGTTTTAAAATATAATATGTGGGAGGGTGCCCTTACACAACCGCGATGCCAGGGGATGCTATCCATGGCTCTGAATCTTCCCTGCAGCATGGCCCATGCCCCACAGGTGGCATCTGGGTTATAATTGCTCCCCAGTCTGAGACTATGGCAAATTCAGTCCACCATTGGTCTCCATTCATGCTCACTCACTCCGCCCCCTTCTTACACAATAATGAGGAAAAAGTGGACACCCATGGCATTTAGTATGTGTGTACCTATCCTCTTTCTTTTTCAGCGTCGCGACCCCCCACCCCCTGGGCTTAGTTGGCTAACATTGTACTTAAGTAACCTAGTGGCATTCCCTTCCTCACCCCCATCCCTCCTATGTTAGTCCCTTGGTCAGGTGCTTTGTATTTCCCTTATGGCTTTGTCATTTTTCTTTTCTTGATGACCCTTCACATACACTAATAAAGCTAGATCTGCTAGTGACAGATAGTAAGCTGGGCAGGCTGTGTGCAAATGTGAAATCTGTTGAAGGAAGCAATTCTGCTTTTTTCTGTCCTCTATACTTGAGTTCAGAAGTTTAATCAGAAAAATGAGTGTTGAGGTAGCATATGTTTTAGTCAAAGCAGGGCTGTCCACCAGGTGGCCCATGGACTCATGTCATCTGAAAAGGGCTTAATGTCCAGCCCCTTGGTTCTCACCCCACCACTGCTCCCCCATTTCTCTGGCTGCAATAGCAGTTGGTGTCTCCAGGCTCTCCCTCTCTCCTTTGACTGCTTTTTGCTTTTGCCCTGGGGATGGGGTAGAGTGTCAGCACAGGGAAATAAGATGTGTGAGCCTGCAGCTGCACTGGGTGCATGTGATAACTGGAGTTGTATGTGAGGGTGGGGGGTGGGGATTGTGCCCACATGATGCAGCAATGGTTGGGGGGATGCTTACTGCAGTGCAGAAGGAGAGAATTGTACTTGTTCACTCTCACAGTGCAGTGGTGGCAGGAAAGCTTCCGTGTGGCACACCTGGTACAGCCTATGTCAGGTGCAGTCCCTGGAACATGTGGCCTCCAGGGGCTTAGATATTGGACAGCATTGTGTCAAAGTATACTGTGTTCACTACTTACAGAGCATACTGAGAATTTATCATGTCAAGAAAAGTTTCATCTATGAATAAATCATGAGTGTAAACTTGTTACTAAAGAGCCTGTAGGATATATTTCTAAACCTATCCATACAATGAGAAACTGTCCCTTGAGAGATTACATTACAATGGTCTATATTCATCATAGTAAAATAAATGGATATTATAAATGTTCTTAACTTATTTTTCTCTCTCTCTCCAGGTCAGCAGAATTTTGTATAGTTTCTCAACGGCATTCAAACGTTCTTCCAAACAAGCATCGGATCAAGTAAAAGACTCTGTTCTTCCTACCCCAGATAGTGATGTGTATACTTTCACTGTCTCCTTAGAGGTTAAAGAAGATGATGGAAAAGGAAATTTTAGGTAAGCTGGAAAAATGGAGGAAGATGCATACACTAATGTTATAAATGTATGCAGTGTTTTTTTGAGGGGTGCATGATTATTTAGCATGTAGTGAATAAATGTAATATAGTTTTATTCTCTTGCTTTATACTAAGTTTTTAAGAAGTTTTCCTTGATTTTTGTAGTTCTCAAATATACTTTTAAAGAAAAGCCTGATTTTTTTTGTTTTTGTTTTTGGTTTTTTTTTGTTTTGTTTTAAACCACTTATTTTCAAAGCAGTGTTAATTACGTTTTACAAGTATGTTAAAGGCCTAGATTTTGGTAAGTTGTTCAGCTATGTAACTATTTGTGCTAATAGACTCTCTTCTTTTGTTTTTCAGCCCTGTGCCAAAGGACAGAGAGAAGTTTTATTTCAAACTGAAACAGGGAGTTGAGAAGAAGGTGGTAATCACAATCCAGCAACTGTCAAATAAAGAATTGGCCATTGAAAGGTAAGCATACTAATAATGAAATAATGCTAATTAAGCATAAAAATCATGGTGTCTGATATACTTGTTGTATCATGATCATCTTGAGAAAGCTATAATGAAGTTAAAGATCAGGAAGTATTCTTATAGAAGTCATCAAAATGGGACTCCACTTGTGTAGTATAATGCATCTAGCTGTGAGATCTCAGTAAGTCTCTGCTGTTTGCTAGAACAGGGGTGTGAAACATATGGCCCGCAGGCTGGATCTGACCTATGAAGCTGCTCCATTTGGGTTGGCAGGCTACTGGCAGGCCAAAAAATTTGGGAATATGGCTAGCAGTGGGTGTGACCTGTCACAGAATCTATGGCCCCATTGGATATGGCCTTCAGAGGCTGTCAGGTAGGTGAGGGCTGTACCATCACAGCTCTGCTTGCCTTGTGACCATTTGAGGCTGCCTCTGCCAGTGCCTCTACTGTAGCCACTGCATGACCTTGCAGATCCAGCCTGTGAGAAGCTCCATGTTCTAGATCTGGCCTGAAGAGTGGAGTGTGTTTGATAACCCTGTGTTAAAAGAATGTCCATATATTTGAACTTTGTAGTGCGGTTGTAAGATGGTATTGTTTAGCAGAGGCTTCCAGATGAGATGTCCTTACTGATAGGGCTGTGTAAGTGAGACTCCTAGCATCTCTCTCCAGGTAAATGGACATCTGGGTCCATTCTGCATTACAGAGATTTTGCTGGCCTAGCTATGGTTGCTGGGTGTTTGACAAGATTTGTATCTCCCCACCAGTTATACTGGCCAAAGCCCTCATGTGGACACATTTATGCTGAGAACAGAGCACTCATATGTGGTACTTGGGTGCAGTGGGGTGAAGAAATGGACCTGCACTACAAGTTGATATACATCTGCCAGAAGGTGCCACCAACATAGCTTTATCAGCATAACCATAATGTTACAGTGTCCAAAGCATAGGCAGTCCCTAGGAGTGGAATCTATGTGGACAGTTGCTCAGGGAAAGAATGTCTGGCCTGCATTAACTGTCTGGCCTGTATCACGTTGATGGATTCCACAGCCTGTCCTTCTCTGCTGTGACTGTCATAATCTTTTGACACTTAGTTCTTCACCAATACAAGTGAATTATCCCCACTCTTCCTTTATGCCTTTTGGCTGGTGGGGAGTTAGAAAAGATATGTAGTGGGCAGCATGTCCCTGAATGAGCCCTGTGAGCCAAAAGAATTTGAGTTCATGTATAAGGTACATGTCCACATGGATCCCACCCTTGGTGGACAATGCATTTTGAAGAATCATAGTTATGGCAAAGTAAGTAGCTGTTGTTTCATCATAAAGAATACTAACTGGCCTGTAGTTTGTGCAATAGTGTGTATAGCTTTGTCTTTATTAATAGTATTTAAAAAATTCCACCAGGTGGCAGTCTTACAAAAGAGTTTGAGTTTACTTTCAGTCTTGCCGATTAGTGTGAGGAATCCAGAAAAGTGTTATAATGTCACTGACTAAAAGAGTCTTAAAATAACCACAAATTTCTCCTCATAGAAAAAAGCAAAAACTCATTACTCTGTCTTCCTAATTGTGTTAGAAGTAATATATTTCTAAGACGAAAATTTAAAGATTTTTTTTGGGTAGCTAAAATATAATAAATACCTACTGTAGCCTGTGCTTCCATAGCCTGAAATTCCATTCTTGTTCTTCAGGAGCTTTTTTCTTTTAATATGCTGTTTTCAATCTGTGGGGTTTTTAGTTATAGCTTGTGAATTCATAGTCATAAAAAAACTTTCTTTATTTGCTGATCTATTTAGCAATGGCGTATCAAACAGCCTGAAAGCACAAATGAAGATTAAACATAATTATTATTTGGCTTGGGAACCATTATGATACAGTCTTATTAAATGTACATACTTATTCAGTTTTTCCTACTTGCTAACTTCCACATGACCCCTGAATAATTTTAATTTATAGGTTGGGGCCACAATGGACAGCAGAATTAAGATTGCATAGGCAATTGGAAATGTCACATTTACTAACTTTTTTGTGTGCTTGAACTTGCAATCTAAAGAAATTTTGTAGTTTTTATGTGAAATATAGACTTGAAAAAATATCAATACAAGAGAAAAGCAAAGCTGTATTCTGTTTAAAATATTTGACTTCTAATTTTTCATATTAAACAGGATTTCTTTTTATAAAAAGATTTAAAGTTTAAAAAAATACCCTTTGAGAGGAAGCAGACTATGGGAAAACTTTAGTTTTGAAGGTATTTAGTTGGGTCTGGAGTACAATGCAAGGGTGTTGCTCAGGAGTAATAGAATAGTTTGGGGCCTTTTGTGTTCTTCACTGATCCTAGTTGGTAAATTCTTTGTTCTTGGATTTCAGCATTGGGAGTATTTTGCAATGCGTTAATTAGTGTTCCGTTTTTGATTCTCAGATGGGTACTTAACTTTTTGCAGAGCTGGTGAAGGGTACAGGCTGATGGTTCTGTTAGAAATTCATCTAACCGTTTCTGTTACCGTTGATGACTACAGTCAGCAAAGAGCAAAATCTGTTTATAACAAAGATGATCATATATATTGTTGCTAGGGGTGCACCAATAGAGATTTTCTTGGCTGATACCAATAGCTTGATTTGTTAACCAGACAATATTGGCCAATACTGATCCAATAGCCGATTTACAGGAATGCAGCCAGGCATCTTGGAGAGCAGTATCCTGCTGGTAAGTCTGTTGGGGTGGGAAGGGGCATGGGGGGGGCAGATCAAGGCATCCACAGTAAGGGAAGGAGTGGGGCAAGGGCAGGCGCTGCCCAGCCAGGGCAGTGAGTGGGACCCCGGGGCTGAGAGTGGGATAGAGGCATAGGCAGTTTGTCCAGGAGGCTTGGGGGTGCTGGGAAGGAGGGTGGCTCCCCACTGCTGCATGCACCTCCAGGGGAGGCATGGGGGGCATGTCTCCCCAGATTTGTGTGTGGGCTGGAGGTGGGCTATAGGCTCAGGGCCAGGGGCTGTGTCAGCCTTTTCCTGGTAGGGGGGCTGTGCTGGGGCTGGGCTTGGAATGGGATGGAGGAAGGCAGGCTCAGCTGTGCAGAGCGGGCAGGTGGTGGCACTATGGGAGACTATGAGGGGACTAGGGTGAGTTTTGGAGTGGCTATAGCCCCCCCAAACCTTCCCCCTAGTGCAGCCCCTCTTGGGTCACTCTACTCTGTTGCTTTCCCTTGCGCAGTCAGCACAGGGCTCCCATCTCCTGCTGGCCCCACAGTGGGGGGCTCCCAATGGAAAGGTAGCAGAGTGGAGTCCTCTGAGTGGGGCTGGCACTGGCAGGGTGTGGGGAGGGCTGTAGCCACCCCAAAATTCACTTTAGCCCCCCTTAGGTACCCCTCCCTGTGCTGCCACTGCTGCCTACCTGCTCACTCTGTGCCACTGAGCCTGCTTTGCTCTCACCTGCTTTGAGTCCATCTCAGACTCTCTGCTAGGAGGGGGCTGGCACATTCCTGAGCCCACAGTGGGCAGCCTGCCTCTGTCCCATCCACAGATCTGGGGGCCATGCTCCTCACTGCCTCTTCCAGGGGTGTGCACAGCAGCAGGGAAATGTCCCCCTCCCCAGTGCCCCGCACCCGATGGATGAGCCACCCATGGCTCCGTTCCACTCTCAGCCCCAGGGTCTAATTGACTGCCCTGACTGGGCACCCCCTGCCCCAACCCCTCGCTGTGGGGGACTCAATCTTCTCCCCTCCCCCACCATGTCCCTTCCCTCCCCCACACCCTTTCCCTTCCACAGACTTACTGGAAGGATGCTGGTCCCTAAGCTACCAGTCTGCATTCCTGGCCATATGCATGCTGCCGCTGTGCAGATGCATGCAGCATTTATTGGTGACATTATTGGCTACACTGGCCAAAAAAAGTCAACAGCTGATATTGTTAATTTTCCTTTTATCAGTGCTGATCCGATATGTGACTAGTATATTATTGTACCTCTAATTGTTGCCTTCCTGTACCCCAATTTGTTGGAGATCTGTTTTGGTTATGTAACTCTGGGTAATGCTTTGCTGGTGGGGAAGAAGAAAGGAAAATCCTTTTAGATTAATTGATTGAGTTGTTTGGTGTCCCCAGAGTCTTGGTAATATAATTCCTAGCAATCAGGGATAATACAGGAGTATTTGTTGCATTATTGTTTCATTTTTACAAAAATGAAATACTTTTAGCTGTTTGTATGTTTTTAAAGAAACACCAGTAATTACTCCAACTTATTCCGTACTTCAAAAACATTAGAATCTAAGGGTTCACACTTGCTGTCATTCAGACACTTTCAAGTTCCTATAGTTGAAGGCTACCAAATTACCATATTTACTCAGATATAAGATGAGGTGCCCCAACAATTAGCATGGGAAAAGCTTCTTGCCTTTTATTTGCATACAAGGAAAGCTCATTAAACTGCTTCTAAAGCTGCATGTGCTTAGTAATGGAAACCAGCTATGAAGCTGATTCAGTGCAGTCAACATTGATCATGACTTAAGATACATGGCCCATATTGGGCAAACATAGTCATGGGAACCCATCACAAGGATAAGTTAGTGCAGTCCATCTGAGTAAGGTATATATGCCCATTATGCTCAGTCCCTCTGTGCCAACTCTTCCAAGTCATGATGAGGTGCTACTTTGAATACATTTTGACTTCCTCTTCACTTCCACAGCTGAGCTGTGCCTTTCTTTCTCATTTCCAATGATTCCTGTTTCTTAACCAGCTTTAAAATCTGGCAAACATCACAAAACAGGGCCCCAAATAGCTCATCCAGAATTCCTTTGTTGCCTCCTTTCTCAGCCTGTCGCATACAGCTCCACCCTGCCTTTCATGAGGTGGAGCTGGAGCAGGTTGCCCTGCAGCTCATCTGCATATAAAGTTTTGGAGGATCCCAAGCCCTGTGATGAGAACATCCCATTCGAGTCATGAGTAGGGGGGTACTTAGCACATGGATTTCTTGTAGGTGGTATTTGGAGTGTACATGCATATTGAGCTGTGGGAGCACCATGGCTTGAAACATTGTTGATGCTGCTGGGGCACAGCCTAACAAACTGGTAAATCATGAGCCTTTTGGCCTTGGTCTGATATCATGCATAGTTTGTAATATATACAAGTAGGTAAAAAAATGCTGCTTAAAAATGTGTTTATGGAGTATCTGTGCTAAAACTTGCAGCAGTTGCAAAAAGGGAAAATACATCAATTCTGGATGAACTAAGCTGATGGGTATTCATAATGATTTGGCTATACGCAAATTACTACAGGCATGTTTATTTCAAGTTCAGTGTTTTTCAGATTTGCCCTTCACTTCCAGGGGTTCAAGGAGAGCAGGGTATGACAGTATGGGGGAGGAGAAAGGGCTGCAGGGAAAAGTTGTGGTGGCAGAGGGCAAGAGAGCCACTAATACCCTCCTCCCCAGATGTTTTTTTCCCCTTCTGTAGCAGTTTGATGGGAACAAATTTAAATTAAACTTGCATAAATTATATTCTATACCTGGAAAATTATAACACACTTATACATTTTCCATATATAGACAACTCCCCAACAATTAGATTCTAGTATTCAGGGTCATCTTATATTTGAGTAAATATGCTAGATTTCAAACTTTGCATGAAGGTTCTGGGACATCATAGCATTATTTTTATAAATGTATTTTGTACCTTATTTTCCACAAGTGCTTCAAGGAACTTGTTATAAGAAATTTGTAGACTGCTGCTTATCAGGATTTCAGTACCTGAGATTCTTGTGCCTCGTTGTTCTACATGAGAAAGCACAAGGTAGGTACTGGTGAGAGTTTGCTATAGACTGCCAAATTAGGCTGCATTTGTGCAGGATAAACAGTTCCTTTAAACGTGTATTAGATGCTTTGTCTTGAGCAGGTAGGGGTCTAGGTGGGTTTTTTGAGATTTCATTCCAATTTTTTTACTGATTCTGTATGTAGAACAAACTTGTGACTGGGAGTAGGATGATGGGGGCATTTTAGTTTGGAGGGCATAAATTGGAGATTGTTCCTGCTAGCAAAACTTACTTGGAGTTTTAAAAACTAGGTTTTATAACAGTTGTTAGAACTTTTGGGGTCATTTATAAGTGTGGTTGATAAGTAATTGCATTGGCATTCAATAAACTTCTGTGCATCCTTTGACTTAGTACTGCCTAACAACCAGGTTTAAAATTGATTCTGCAAAATCACATAGCATACATTAAATGGAATAAAAACTGTGGCTAACTGATGGATCTCAAATTGTAAATAGGGTATTTCTAATGCAGTTTTGCAGGAGGCTCTTGCTTGAGCCGTAGCTATTGTCTTTCGTTAATGATCTGGAAGTAAAATGTTCCTAGTAAAACTTACAGATGGCGCACATGGGTTTGAGTGGTATGCAATGATGGATTATTTGTGTACTGTACAACTGATTGTGTGCCACTCTGGCCCATACAAAGGTAAGATGTATTTTGATAAGGTTAATACAACTTCCTGCACCTAGGAAACAAGCATTTAGGTGATGTTTGTATGGTGCAGGCCATTTTTGGAAAACAGTGACTTGGAAAAGGGCATAATGGTCGTAGTGGATAATCAACTGAACACAAGCTTTTAACATGGTGCAGTGGTTAAGATTGTCCATCTATGATCCTTGGATGTAGAAGTGGGATGGGATGATGACTAATGAAAACATTGCTGGAAAGTTGTATTTTGTTTTGGTTGCTATACTGTAAAAAGAACTGGTGAAGGGTATACCTCAAGTAGTAGAACTTTGAGGTGAGGAGAAATTTGGTGCTCTGTAATTAGTTTTTCATATTTGGGTCACTGGTTCCAGTCCTACCCCTGTAGTGGCTGCCTTTGTGCTTCAAGCCACGTGCACTGTCACAGTTGGGCAGGCAGACATGGGGTCGCACTTTTCAACTCAGTTCATTTCCCCCAACTCCTCCCATGCTCCTGGAGTTGGTGGGAGCGGCTGCAGGGGCATATGGCTCTGGTAGCTAGTCTTCTGAATTCTTGGAAGAGCAGCCACAACAGCAGGGGCCATGTGCAAGCTTTCAGATTCAAAGTGAAGGTAGGGAGGGGGCAGATAGCAGAAAGATCCAGGCATGGCAGGTTCTGCTTCTGCCTTCCTCACCTAGCACCAACCTGTACGCCTCCAGCAACTGTTGTGACCCCCTTCTAACTCCTGCAGTGACAGTGTGCTGCTACAATTCAGAACAGTTATGGAGAGGTGCCTTGAAATCCAAAAAAAGGTTGAGAACCACTGGGTTGAAGCCTCGACCAGTATCTTTACATTTGACAAGTAAAAACTGTGTGGGTTTTCCAAATTGCAGGAGAATGTGGTTAAAGTTCAGTTTGCCTTAAAACCATTGGGTTGATACGTGAATATCCTTTCTGCTTCTAAAAGTAGAAGTCTGCGTTAATTTGAGTATGATCCCAGTTTATTTTAAAGTTGGGCATGCTACTCCATCCTTCTGTATCCAGGCAAGCTTGTGTGTCTACATGTAACCCCACTGTTTTCTGCTGGTCTCTGTGCTCGCACAGGTTGGTTGCCCTTATGGAACAAGTTGCCCAAGAAGGGCCTAAGACTGAATTTAGTACCTCTGTGTAAAGTTAAACCTGTTTACTCGAGTATTGCTGTCTTTGCAAGGAAGTATAGCTGTGTGTGTACCAGGCCTAATTAGGCTGGGTGCAGTACCATGTTACTGGAGATGAGCTGCTTTTGGTAACTAAGCTAACTTGTGTATGGTATCTCTACCATGGTACTGCATTGTGGCATGTTGGTATATTTTTGTTGTCTCCTCCCTGGTAATCCTACTCCCACATTTATTTACTTCCTTGCTTTTTGAAGACTAAAAAGTAGCTGTTTATTTTCTCTGTCATTATTGGGAGAGAGAGAAAATGAGTTTTGGATATAAATAACTGCCCTGCCTTATTTTTATAATGAAGCAGAAAAAGAAAATTGCATGCATTAAACAGGAACAAACCTATTTAATAGCCTGCTAATTGCTAATGTAAAAAACCTGGTTTTGTAACAGGTTTTAGGAGTGTAATTGCATTGTTGTTTGTTACATTTCTGCTCATAACATACCATGCTCACTGCAATATTAATTAGTTAGCTGTCAGTCATTTGAAAACTGTGAAACTGCTTTTGTCTTCAGTGCTATCATGAGAATACTAAGCATCTAAACTGTGTTGCTTTGAATCTCCATTTGTTATAAAGCCTAAATTTTCATAGTAAAAGCCGTTGAGCATTTTTTCCCATTAAAGAAAATTGGCCAATTGTGCAGAGAGAAATTTCTGTCAAAAGAGTAAAATATTTCCTGTACTCTTTATAATCAATAGTTCTCGGATACTTTCGTTATTGTGAGATTGTATCTCAAAAATGTTCTATATAATATATTAAGTGTCTCTGTTGTAAACTTATGCTGAGCTAAACTTTTCTGTTTTGTGAGGGTACATGTTCAAAGGGGAAGGGCTACACTTACAGGATTTTTTTTAAAATATTGTGTTTGTACCTTTCTTGTTCCCTTACTTTTACGTAAAGGGGATGATAGTACTTCGTTCTACCATTTCTATTTAGACTGCAGATACTATTAGGGAAGATGTAAACAGTTAGCACAGTGGGATCCTAATTTCTGTAGGGATATCTGAATGCTAATTCATGGTGTTTTGTGAATTTATGTCCTTTACTAGAAGAAGCAGAGGGCAATGAATGTTAAAGAAGATTGTAATTTCTGCCAGATGGTTGGGAAATAGAAAAGAAATAGTTTTAAAAAGTTTAATTTCCCCATTTAGGTGCTTGAACTTGACTCTTCTGGTGGTTTTATGCATCTCTAAAGCAGTATGGAAAGGGGAGGGAATAACCTAATTTTTGTCCTATTCCTAATCAACTCCACAGTTAGCAAAGAATGTAACTCCAGGGTAGAGAACAGCATTTTAATCTGTAAAGAGCCCTGACACTGTGTTTGTAAATGTAAAGGAATATTAGAAATAAGATTTAATACTTCTTACCTTCAGTTTTAGTGAAATGTTGAATTCTGTAGTTTCAGTCTACCTCCTTTTGTATCAGCATTGTTTAGGGATCCTTGACTATATATGTTTTAAAGCTTATTCATAATAAAAAAATGGTAGGGGAAAACAATTTGATACCTAATCTGTTCTGTTCTTTGTGGCTTTTCTTTGTACATGTTGTGTCACTTACTGCATGTGTGTGAACAGAAACCTATTGCAAATGCTGTGTTCCTGTTTAAATGGAAAACTGTAATCTGTGGCATTAAGTGTGTATGAGAAGATGCTTATACTTTTCTAGAGTTGTCTAATATGTTTAATTGTGAAAAACTTTTGCAGATGCTTTGGGATGCTGCTAAGTCCAGGACGAAATGTGAAGAATAGTGACATGCATTTACTGGATATGGTAATAATCAATTTGTCTGGCAAAATAGAAGCTATATGATGATAGCTTTTTACTTTTTTTTTTTCTTCAAAGGGCAATTTCAAGGTGCCCATATAATTTTAATGGTAAAATTCTTGTTTTTGATAATTTCATTTGACACGTGAAATACAGGATTTTGTTACCTTATTAAGATGTTTCCTTAGTGGAATTGTACTCATTTACATTACAGCTAAACTTTGCCCCTTGATATAAAACAATGAAGTGAAAGGTACTAGAAATCGTCTGTAGATCCTTTAAAATAGGAATCATAGGAAAGGCAGATTGGAAGGGACCTCACAAATTCATCTAATTCAGCCCCATGCTCAAGGCAGGATTGTTCCTGACTTAAACCATCCCAGCCTAGTGTCTGTCAACCTGCTTTTGAAAATTTCCCTGAATGGAGATTTCACAACTTTTCTAGGTAGTCTGTTTCAAGGCGTGATCACCCTCATAGTTGGATTGTGCCTCCTTATCTCCAACTTGCTGTATTTGAGTCCAGGATGAGATCCTGTGCCCTCCTTCCCCACTGCCTTTTAAAATGTTGAGGGGGGAAAAAAGCCCTTGTCTTGGGATTTGAGTACAAGCCAGTGGTGGGGACAGGTGGCTGCTGTGGTTCTGACTATATCTATGACTAGGGCTCGGAGTTGGAGTCAGAGCTGCAGCTTCTGCTTCCTCCGGGCTCCAGCACAGAGCACTTGGTTGTTACAGCTCTTGCCTGGCCATGCAGCAGCAATGACAGTTACAGCAAGTCCAGCCCAACTCTGCTGCATGGCCAGGTTGGGTTCTGAGTGACTATGCCTTCCCTGTCCTGGGCTGGAGCTGGAGTTGCAGGGTAAGTGGCTGGGGGGTAATAGGGAGGGGGCTGAGGCAGTGGCAGGACAGGCAGAGTGGGCAAGTAGTCATGTGGAGGGGGAAGGCATTGTGAGGATGGGAAAGAGAAGGGGAAGTTATGGGGGCAAATGCCAGGGGGTACAGGCATGAGAGAGCTAAGTGGTGGAAGGGGATATGGAGCAAGGGGCATGGGTCAGGTCACTTGACCCCATTGCCCTGCCCTGCCTTAGGGGTCAGCTTGTTCAGGAAGGCATAGACTTTCATAGGCAACTGCCTACTTTGTCAGATATGTAGCTGTTGCCTCTGTTTGAATGAGTTAAAACCCAAGGTACAACCCTGGCCTGCCTTCTGCTTGACTTCAGACTATCGCTGCTAACTACCTCATTGGTAATCTTCCTTTTCCCCTTTTTCCCACGATTAGTGGCTTGTTTACTTCTGGACAGGCAATTTTCTTGGCACCATCTTCCATGTCTGCTTCCCTCCACCTCCTCCCATCATCATCTTTTAATTCCTTTCTCTGTTTTCCTGTTTCCTCATTGTTGTAGGGGCCATCTACCTCCAAAAAAACAGGGAGGGGGGAATGTGGGGTGGGGGAGCAATGATGACTGCAAATAGCTCCCAAAATACCAGTATGAAAAGTCATTGACCTGTTTACCCTCAAGGTTGCGAACTAACTTGTTTGTTCTGCTTATATGTTTTAGCTCTTTTTCTCTCCCTCCCTTCATGCTTTTTTTTTTTAACTTGCTTATTTAGATAGTTTGCTTTGGGACAGGGGGTATTTGTTTCACTGTAAAGTGCCTAGCACAGCTAGGCCCCTAATTTTATTTGGTCTCTAGGGGCCACTGTAATACAAATAATATATGTGTTATTCTTAGGAGTCCATGGGAAAGAGCTCTGATGGGAAAGCTTATGTTATTACTGGAATGTGGAATCCTAATACACCTACATTTCTAGTACTTAATGAGGAAACTCCTAAAGGTAACTTTTTAAAAACAGTACTGCTTACTTAATTACTTCATAAAAATTAAATTGTGTATTTTTTTATTAAAATGTTGTATAGTTATGACTGACAAAGGTTATAGATGCTCTTGGGGACCATTCTGAATATTACTTAATAGGTATACATCAGGGTAACCAACAGAAGCTTTAATTTAGCATCAGGACTGTGTTAAGAACTATATGAACACATATAATACGAAGAGATTAAAATTGCTTGTATTGGTGTGAGAATTGTTGCCATTCAGAACCTGATAAAACTTTGTCTGGGATTATGTTCACTTGCCCTTGGGAATTTGATTTTTCAATTCCAGGCATGCTTATTGATGTGTTTTCCTCTTTTACTGCTTTGATTGAATGTGGACTCAGTTGTCACCATTCTTTTGTATTTTCATTGAGACTTTTAACATGGTGCTGACCTCCAAGTTTGTAATTGTTTCTGCTGTTTTCGGTTTTTTGTTTTGTTTACTAGCTTTTTTACTAGCGTTTTTCATAATGTTTTAAAGTGATTTGTGTCCTAGTATAGTGTAGGTTAGATCTTGCTGAACAGCCTGACCCAGTTTTCAATTCATGATTTGGCTGCACTGTGTTTTCTGTGTCCATTTATGGTCCAATCAGATAACTGTCTCTGGAGTTTTGTGCGTGGTGTTTGTGTGTGGGGTTATTGCCTGAGGCTTGGGATTGGATTCCTTATGATAAAGCATCTACCTGATAAGACATAGGCATCATGGATCCGGATTGTACATCAGTGCTATGAGAGAGTTTGGGACAAATGGAGGACATTTCGTTGATCCTTTAAGTTAGATGTTTAACTTCTTTTCTTCAGCAGTAGAGTGCCCCATCAGATTTGTGATCTTGGTCCAGTTCAGTTTCCTATTTATGATGTCAGATGTGACTGTTGCTGCTTTTTCCTGTATGATCCATTTTTCCTTCATCTTTACAAGTGTTAATTTGTTGGAAAATTGCTGGACCATTTTGGCACTAATGGAAAAAAGCTCATTGGCTAATGTGCATATGCAAAATCTAAAATACAGATAACAAATGTGAGATTTATGCTGCAGAATGAATAGCTGGAAGGGACTGAATTTAAACAGAAGTCTGTTTTTCTCATTTGTATTTGGGTACTTGGAGAAATTTTCTCCTTGAAGCTAACTTTATTTATTGTTGTACATTAACTTTATTTTTGTGTTCCAGACAAACGTGTGTACATGACTGTGGCTGTGGACATGGTAGTCACAGAAGTAATAGAGCCAGTCCGCTTTTTGTTGGAGACTGTTGTGCGTGTTTATCCTGCTAATGAGCGTTTCTGGTATTTCAGCAGGAAAACATTCACAGAAACTTTCTACATGAAGATAAAACAGGTACTGCATTTTAATGAAAAACGGACTTGAAGTATCAGGTCTATCTTTTCTTGTTTGGTTCCATAAATTTTACAGACTATTTTATGGTAGTGGATCCTCAATTGTACTGGCATAACAGTTTAAAAATGCTTGTGCATTAGCCAGGTACAAAGCATCCAATTGAAAATCTTAACATGCCACGTGATTTAAGCTGGAGCAACCCTGATCTAATGTATATCTTTTGGAGAATTTTAGCACGCAACTTGTGCACTCCTACTTGCATGGAGGTGTCTAAAATTAAGACCATCTAACTGGTTAAGTCCAGAAATGCATTTCTCCCTGCTTCGTTATGGTGCTTAATAGGTGAAAGCTCTGTCTCCTGTTGTTTAGAATCCCAGAAGTATATTAAAGTAAGAATAATTAACATGAGGAGTGTGATTAGGCAGAGACAGAGAACCCTGGTGAGTGTGTGGTGTTGTTTGTCTGTTGTTTATATAAAAATAAGAGGCTGCTACTACTCTTCTTTCAAACTGCAGCTGTAACAGTATGTTCCTGTGCATCAACTTGAATGTTTGCCATTATTGCTCCACTGCTGCAAGGAAGCAGGTGGTGGGGTTAGGGAGGTAATGTGACCATTTATGTTAATGATTATTTGACAAGATTTTGTGTAAATCGTCGCAATGTGGTTTATTATAAGTTAGGTATCCAAGTTGTAATGGTATTGGTCTAGAGGCAAAGGGAATCAGAACCCATGGTACAGGTGATATCTTTTATTAGACCAACTAGATATTTGCGAGGGGGGGGAGAATCTTTATTTGCAAGCTTTCGGGCATAAGCACCCTTCTTCAGGCATAGGAGAAAAGATTGTAAAAGTTGAACCGAAGAAGTGTGCTTATGCCCAAAAACTTTCATATAAAGAATTTTTTTCCCACAAAAATCTAGTTGGTCTAATAAAAGATATCTCCTCTACCCTGAGTTCTGATTCCTTAATATAGGTTTAGATGTTCCTTGTTGTAAGTCGTGTCCCTCCTCTCTTCCTCCCGCTTTACCCCTCACCCCACAAATATTCCGTTTCATGTGGCTTCTACACAGGAGAGGTGAGGGTCAAGTTGTAGTACACTGAGTAGATTAATATTTCCTCTGTAGGGCTTCCCTGTTTATAAACCTATGTGATTGATGTGATTTTTGCTTATTTCCTCAAATATTGGAAGGGATCATGTGTTCCTTGCTCTGTAACCTCTATTGAATGTTTTTCAGTAGAGTGGAATCCAAAAGTCCCCAAATTTAGTTCTACGATCTTGCCTGTTCCTCAGTGCTGTCAGCCTACCACTATTATTTTATTCATTCTGGATTGATAGTTTTATTCTTTTGCAAGTAAGCATTGACCTACTTTCTGTCGAGATTTGTACACTGATACTGACTCAGGATCTGAATAGTAGAGTCTGACCTTGTAATTTACACTGGAATATGTTAGAACCACAATCTTTGGCTGACTATATTGAATAAGGGTGACTTAATTTTCTGAGTCTAAGCAAGGGTATCATAGTTATCATCTTATTTTGAAGTAGTGTGAAACAGTGGTGGTTTTACTATATCATAATGACATAGAATTTACTTAATGTCTATCTTGCTGATTTAAATTTTATGCAAGCTGTTTTCTTTCATTCTTGCAACCTTCAGTTTTACCACCAGAGATTAGTGTAATAAACTGGAATTTATGAAGCACTACAAATTACTAGTATCATGCACATACTTGAGATGGCTACTCTTTGCTACTCTTTTTCTGGTTATAAATAAAACTCACTTTACTTGCCCCTGGACTAGAGCATAGGACTTGAAGTATATTGTACCACAGAGAGGAACGATGGTCTTGTGGTTAAGGTAGCCTGCATTGGAAGCCAATTGAAATTGATTCATTTCCTGGCTTGACAACAGGCTGCTTCTGTTTTGCTCTATACTATGTAGGTCACTATAGACTTGATCTGATGTACAGACCAAGTCTACACTCATCTACTGATGAGCTAATTAGCTTAATTTAGGATGTTGTGAAATTGGGCTCCACCAGTATTGCTGCAAATTGGAATTGGTATGAGTTAAATGTACTTTGTCGAAAAATTATTTTGGAATGTACCTTCCTCTTAGTGTTACTCTTGAGTTGCAGTGACTGGCAAGAAGGACCCACCCTTTTTATGTTTATGGTTTTTCTGGGATTTGAGCAGCGTGGAACAAGATTACACTCGGGTACCTGTTAGGTAGAAAACGATCTGGTCCTGAATATCTGCTTAGTGATATGTGTTTATTGGTTTGTGGTTACAGTTTCAACAGTGTTTAAGTGTATCAGTTTAAATTTATTAAACAGAAAACCACAACTTCTCAGAAATATAGGTGTAATTATCACTCCATGCTATTATTTGAAATATTCACCTCTTAAATTTTCCTGTGTTCTTATGGATTTACATTCTTGTTATAGTACAGTCAGACTGTGATAATGTTACATTATGGGACTGAATGAAGCCTGTGGTATCAAGTGAAGCTGACAATAACTGGAGTTGAATACCAGGTGGAACTTACTTGTGTCCTAATTGCTTCTAGAAAGACAATTGTATGGATACATATTTGCACGGATCAGAATTTATATCCTACTCATTTTGTGCATTTTGTGAACTTACATAATGTTTAAGTATGACATTTATTTAATATCTAAGGTGAGGAATGAAGTAACAAGCATAACAGTTATTCTGTGTTAAAAATTATGTACTAATTGAAGGGAGTGGAGAAGCTGTATCACTGAACTAAAAAGCCCCTCATCTGCCCCTTTTCTTTAGCAACCCCAGCTGTGCTTCACTGACTCAGAGCCTTTGTTTAAAACTTGCAACTTCCCCCCTCCCCCAAATATTGTAAGCACAGCCAAAAAGTTACGATATCCGGCATAACATCCTACACCCGTTTACAGCTTAACTACCAGATAATTTTCATGCATGGCATGAAAGCCAAGCCAAGCCACACTTAGACTCTAGCAATAACTTAAATAACAGGCACTGAGCAGGGGCCTAGTTAGCTTATTAATATATAAAAATATTTTTGATGTTGCCTAACTTTATATGTTTCTTCAATGAGGCAAATTACTTTGTCAGTAATTGTCTGCTAACTCATTTGATCTTGGAACATCATTTGATAACTGAGTCTTTAAATCAGTTAGTCTCATCTCTTAGACTGAAGGCACCCCTTATTAGATTTGAGGTACCCCTAAGAAAGTGCCAGCTCTTGAGTTTTCACTCATTTTTTAACTACAGAAAAATTATAGAGTAATTCTTCCATTGCAGAGAACTTAAAAAGACTACACTAGGTCAGACTTCCTGTTAATCTCTTGATTTATCTTGGAAATTGTTTGCACACCTAACAGTGCTGCAACACCTTGGTTTAAAACCATTGCATGAAATGGTCAATTTACCTAGTGGAGATAATTTGCTGACATTAAGCAGTTTGTGACAAGTTCAGAGTGGAAATAAATAGGCTTTTTGCATTACTGTATGTGGAAATCAGTCATTGATGATGCACACTTTGATAATAGGCTGTGTGAGATATAAAGAGGAGTGATAATATCTGGGTCTGACTATTTACTAATTTTTTTCAGCAGCATTTATCATGATGGTGTTTAGATGTATTTAAATATTTATCTAGTTTTGACATTACTGTGATTATGATTTACATACATGTCTGTTTTGGGTTATCTGAATGCCAGTTTTGTCTTCAAAATGAAGTGGTTTCGTTTGTGTTGCAAAAAATGCACTTTTTCATGGTAAACAAATTGTCAGGGAGACCCAATTAGTATCTGTCAATTTCCATGCCATTTGTTCCCTGCAGCTCAACACAGTGGTTTGTTTTATGCCAATTAACTGTATTTTTACCTGATTGTATAATGTAGCAACTTCCCTGTTGAAATAATGCCAGTAGCCAAAACAAAGGGTTTTTTTCCACATGTGCTTTACTAGATCACTGTGTCCGTCTGCTGGATGCATATTATATCACATTAAATCATGGCTAGTTAACTTGAGGCTGGCGTTTTTATAAAGCATTCTTCTTGTGGCTGCACATCAAGAACGCTTGGAAACTTCAACTTGGACAGAACGCCTGTCTGCTTGCAAAATGATGCATCTTGCAAGGAACATGTTAGAGTTGTAGTCTGGAGGCTGCATTGACTTCAGATTGATTTTCAACTGAAAGTAAAGCACTCAAACAGTTTGATATATCAATATCAAGGTTTGGACATTTTATCTGAGAAGCAGTGTATGGATTTATCCTGAGAGTTAATATAAGCTGGGCTACTTGACCCCCCAGTTTAGATAGGAGGTAGAGCAGGGGTGGGCAAAATATAGCCTATGGGCTGGATGTGGCCTGCCAGGCCATTCTGTCTGGCCTGTGGGGCCCCTAAAAAGATTAGAAAACTAATTATTATCTTCCCATGGCTGCCTGTCAAAAATGACAAGACACCAGTGGCAGCAGGATCCAGGAAGAGCCAGTGGCCAGACCCAGTGGCAGTAAGAGCAAGACTCACCTGGCTTTGCCCCAACCCCAGCCTCCAGCCAGAAGCTTCTGCCTAGCAGAGGCTTCTGGCCTGGAGAACTTGGGGCTGTTCCCCCACCTTCCTCTGTCTGGGAGTGGAGAATCAGATAAGAACGGATGGGGGCAGAGGATCGCTGGTGCAGCAGGAGCCATCCTGGCCCAGCTGGCATTATGTGGTTCCCAGCTGGCTTCTGCTGAGCTGTGCAGTTCCAGTCCTGTGGCTAGGGTGGTGTCAGTTGTGGGGGAAGGAAGGGAAAACAGCAGGGGAAAGGCAGCAGTGCCAGGTGTGGGGGGAAAAGTGGAAGCAGGTGCGAGTGCGGGGCCCTGAGGGTCAGGGATGGCAGCAGTGGGAGCCAGCTGGGAACTGCTGGGGCTGGGCTGGCTCCTGCTGTGTTCTGTGGTCCCAGTGTTGCAGCCAGGAACTGCATGGTGTGGCACAGAGCTGGCTGGGCACCTAC